CAGATTGCAGCCAACTGTGAAGCATGGTTGGTTTCAGCATGATGGTTTGGGGAGGTGTTTGGGTTGGTGGGATATCGAGCTTAGTGGAGTGCGTTGGCAACATAAATTTTGTGAAATACGTCGAAATATTGGAGTAAGGACTCTTGCCACTTTATTCCTCGGGTTTCGTGGACAAGAACACAACGTTGTTCCGAGAAGATGGAGCACCGTGTTACACTGCTAGAAACACCCAAAAGTGGCAGGAAGAAAATGGTATCCAGGAGTTGCCCTGACATGAACCCCATCGAAAACCTGTGGGCCATACTCGACCGGCAAGTCAAGAAACAACCAAAAAACGAACTTCGAAGAGCGATCTATTCCAAGTTTTGAAGCAAGAGTGGGCGAAAATCCCACAATCTAAAATTGACTAGATGATTCTCACGATGCCCCAAAGGATCAACGAACTCCACGAAGCAAAAGGAAGATCTACTAGATATTAATTACATTATAAATATATCAATTCATGTGAATATGACTGAAAATTTTCATTTTTTCCGAAAAGGTGGTGTCTATTTACTTGTGACCATGCTGTGTATATATATATGTGTGTGTGTAGCCATTAAAAAATAAATAGGAAGAAAAGAAAGTAGTGTTGTGAGATCAAGAAAACTTTATACTTTTTTTCTCTAAAAACTTAATATTGTAGCTAAATTTCCTTGTAAACTTGTTTGGAATAGGCATCATTTATTGCTTTTTAGGATTTTCTGAGAGCACATAACACTTTTTTTATTATTTTTTTCTGTATGAAACAATATTATCTTATAAAGTTCAAGCCATATTTTAATCAAGTTGCTTTTTTTCTGCTCAGAAAGCAAAAAATGTTAAAGTATGAGGTTTTCTCAAACCTCTTTTTTTTCTTTAGGTGGAACATCAACTTGAAAATCTTGCTGTCAGAACCCAAAAAGAACTGATCCTACTGCATCGGGAGGGAAATGACAAACCTCGCAATACAGTAGAATGGCTAAATATTAGATCGTGGTGCTCATCTCATCATCACATCCAGTGTCCAAAAAGAATGTTCACAAAGAAGTCTCGATCTCGTTTGGTGAGTTTTTTACAATATGCATAGGTTTTTGAAGAGTTTAAATTTTGTTATGTTACTGATTAATTTTTTTCCGTTCATTTAGAAATAAAATAAAAAACGCAACAGCTAATGAAGCATCTTAGTTTCAAATTATTTAGTTTTAGCCCTCATTAATGTTTATTTTACATATACAGAGTGCATCTTAGCTGAATTTTTTGTGGTTTTGATGACTGTCAATAAAAACTTGGGGAAAAAACCTTTGTTAGTGTAATATATAGTTGTTTATTTTTTTATGAAACAGTACATATAACTGGAAAATAGATATTTTTGATGACTTGATGTAGCTTAACATTTTTTGCAACACAAATCAGAATGCATAGCACTTTCTACATTTCATTAAACTGCAAAATGTATAAATAGTTTTTCACATTTGGAAAAAGGCCACTCTTGTAAGTGACACAAAGAAATGAAACCTTATAACCTGAGTGCTTTCGAAAGGTGGACCTTTGCTCTTCAGGGATGAACTGTATTAGTGAAATATAGTTTGTTTTGTTATACATAAAGTATGAGCGCTTCTGTAGTTAATTATTCTGAAAGAAAAAAATTGCTTGTTAATACTAACAGTTATTTTTATAAATAGGCAGCGACTTATTCTACTATTGTTTTTAAGTATTATTTAGTAGTTAACAATGAGAATAGCAATAAATCACCATGTAGTTACAATTCTTAGCATATTCTGTGTTACTTCCTCTAAGAACAAAAAAAGGTTTAGTGTTATAAAATTTGGCACAGACATTTTCTGAAAACTTCTGAAAGTGCTAATGTTTTGGTGTTGAAAGACCTTCTAAAACAAAGTAATAAACATAACTATAATGTTAACAGCCAAAACACCAAAGAGTGCTTTTTTTTATGGTCATCATTTCCTTTTGTAGAAGGAGATGTATAACAAGTTATTTGAGAGTGCTCCAAACATTCATTCAGATTTTTCTCGACTCTCTCGTTTTTTGACTGGGACATCCATTGGGCTAGTTCTAGGAGGAGGTGGAGCCAGGTAAGAAACATCACATAATTAGCTTTTTTTTTTTCTGCATAAAATTCTGGACTAGGTAAGTATCAGTTCATTATTGTTGTCATTACTGCATGGCTTGGCTGTCAAATGCCATTTTTCTGAGAGATGACAATGAATTGTACTTTTTAGTAGTATAATTTAAATAACAGAAAATAAAAATAGAAAAAAACTGAACAATAGAAGATCTTTCTGATAGTCATAAATATGAACATAAAAATATGAAACTAGCACACTTCTCTATCAGAGAAGCTCACTGTGATCTTTCATAAATATCTACCATTTACTTTTTGAAGGATATATTTTGCTATTCATGTCTTCAGTATTTTCTTCTAAAGGAACATAAGAAATAGAAAATAATAATAATAATTTTCTTTATGGGCAGTTGATGTTTTCCATCAATCTCTGTATATAAATATCCCAAAGGAAAGCTTTCAAAATAATTTGTCTCTGCCTCTGTCTGGTATTGGCTAGTCTTCACTGTATTCAGTTCTGTTTGTAGGTATTTTTATAATAAATATCACATCTTTTGAAATGTCCTACAGAATTTTGGTTTTATGTCTTCATAGATGTTGTGTTTAATTTACACAATCTGACAAGAAATTGCAGGAATAATTTTTCCCTTACTATTTATGTACAAAAAACAGTACTTTGAAAAATGGTAAACAAGTGTACAGAAGTAAATTCATAACGTTTTTAAAATACATAACCTGTTAGCTATATTTTTCAAATCATGCAAAGGTCTAAATTTAAGGCACTTGCCTAGCATTACATTTCCTAGCACTTTGACAATGAAGTTTTTAAAACTCAGCTTGAACATTTTATGGGACTTTTGTTTTTTGCTTAAAAGAAATCAATTACTCAAGTATATATTACATTTTGTAAACAAATAGGATATATAGTCCATGTTACTTGAATATCACTAAGTGCCATAGTTTAGGCATGGGCATCTTTTTTCTGCACGTCATGAGGTTTTAGTGAGTTACATTCGAAATTTAATTAAGCTACTTTCTTTTCATGGTATACTAATAAATATAGCTAATAACCCATATTTTGACAGTATATAAGTTTTATAAGACAATATAAAAAAAAAATCCTGAATTTCTCCAGCAGAAGAATTGTGACATTTTGTCTCTAGGCATTCCCTCTTCTGTAAGTTACCACCACTCCAAGAATTACAAAATTTGATGTAAATTACTCACTATAATATCACCATTACTCAGGCAAAGCATAATTTGTATAGCCTTCAATCTTATTTAGTTATAGAGCCATGAAAAAGACAATCAGACCCTTCTTGAAACACCCACCTGTCACATCCTCTATTTCAGAAATTGCTAATAGTTCCCTCTGATGTTCAGTACTATATTATTTATAACCAATAGAAAAGCCACAGTTTTCATCTGTCAAATGACATTTTATAATATGTTGTTCACTGTACAAAGAAATGTCAATTTCTCGTTCAGTTCAAACTTTATTTCCACTGGAAATACATTAACGAGCTTAAATGAATTTTTAACAGCTCTTGTTGCATAGTTGAAAAGCCAGAAAAATTATGATAGTTATGGGACATTGTCTGCTTTTTGTGTGTTATTATTCTGTGTTTTTTGGTGCATTATTTAATTAAATAAAAAAATATTTAGTGTAGTACTATCATTAGTATAAAAAGTAGAGTTAAATGTCATAAACTGTCAACAGCTAAAGAAAAGAAAACCCAGGTAAGTACTTTATCTCTTGTTTTTCATGTGTATTCTTTATTTATTATTATAAAAGTATCATGAAAATGTAAAAATAGGAAACTTTTAGGTTAGATTAGGTGAAATGAATAATAATAATATATGGAAAATGTTTCACGAGTGTACACTCGCAAGTAGCTCGTGCATAATGTAATTTGATAGCGTAATGTGAGTTACACATTCTCCAAGTGACTTGCAACTTATAATAGCATGATATATAGTAGTTAGAAATGGTTCAAAGGGCAATAAAACAATAAAATTTAAGTAGAAATAAAAGTACACCGTTATGAGTTTACAGCTATTTAGGATAAACATAAGTGGTTTCATGGTACAGTTTGAAGTAATTTTGATTTATTTGGTTTTTGTTTGGTGGTTACAAGGTCAATCAAATTGAACAGCTTTGTATAGAGTTAGGGTAGAAAAAAATAACAGCTAAAATATAAAGTTTTACTGAAATAAACATTTGAAATTTATTTTGGAGGTTCTAGAGATTATGCAAATGAAATTTGAGATTCTTGAGATAAAGAAAAGTATTTTTAATCTTATTGTGGAAATCACTCTTTGCTCAGACTAGTAAAAAAATTATATATGTATATATATTCCTAAAAAAAATCTTTAGTAAAAATACTTCATTAAAAAATCTGATTTTTTATTTACAAAAAACTTGTGTTTACTAAAAGTCTGCCAAATTTTGTGAAGATGCACATAATGTATTAAAAGTTATAGAGTACAAAATGGTTATGAGGTTGGTTGAATTGACCAACCTCATAGTGAGATAGTTATGATTTGTTTAAAAAAAAAAAAAATTCTAGTTGTGTTATCTTAGGAACTATTTAATTTTATTATTACCTGATGTTGTTCTTTGTCCTTTGTTTTTTACAATAATTTTAGCACTTCATAGTCTGAAAGCTTGTTAGATTTGTTAATTGTTGTAGGATGAGAAAGCTGTATTTCATAATTTTATGAATATCAATGAAAAGTAGTTTCATTTATAAAACAGTCATTTTTGTAAACTTAATACTGTTATTATTTTTGAGTGTGCCCTTGCAGTGGCTAAGCATTAAGTCTGAGGGCTTATAATGCTGAAGATTGGGTTTCAATACATGTGCTGAATGTAGCACAAATAGTCCATTGTGCAGCTTTGCACTTAGCGACAACCAAAAACACAAATTATTTTGGTTATTAATAGCTACTTAAGATTAATTTGATAAGAATCTTATATTTTTGTTTCTCACTTTTTTTCATAGAGGGTCAGCTCATGTAGGAATGATTAGAGCCATTCAGGAAGCTGGTATTCCTATTGATATGGTTGGTGGAGTTAGCATTGGTGCTTTTATGGGTGCCCTATGGTGCCAGGAAAAGGATGTGACAACTTTTATCCAAAAAGCGAGAGAATGGTCAATGGTAGTAAGAGCTATATTTTTAATTTGTTGTAAATTCTTAAGTGTTAAAAGAATAAGTGATTAAATTAGGAGTAACTAGTTTTTACAAAATATTTTTGTTTCCTTGTCATTTCAACAAACTCCTGCATATTTAAGGATATATCATTGCAAACATTGTTAAGAAAACTATTAATAAGGTACAAGTAAGTATATCGAGCACAATCAAAGCTGTAACTGAAAATTGGTTGTGTTGATTTAAAAAACTGTCTTATTTACATATTTGTCAGTAGTTATTAAAACCTATTTTGTTAACATTTGTTATCATATGAAGAAAGTTTTTGCATGTATAATTTTCTGGGAGTAGAAGCCCTTCGAAAATAAGTACATATATTATGAAACTCGTATCATAATAATATACAGTAGATAATATTGGTTCTATGTTTTAGTTTGTACTTAATTTTAACATTATATATATAGAGAGGATAAAAATAATAGTTTCCCAAATTTTTTATTTTATTTTATTGATAAACTTAACTTGTTTATATTAGTTTTGAAAGAAAGCTGCAAAAAATCTAATTAAGTTACAAGACTAGTTTACTTTTGTTAGAATTTTAGTTTAAAATTATAGCCAATAATTCTGAGATTAGCTGTACTTCATCCATAAAATTTTGTTTTTTCAAAGTAGTTAATTTTTAAGTCTGATTTATTTCACTGCTAATCTTAGTTCATGATTGAAATGTTTACTGTTTTTTGTATGCATGCAAGTACAATTAAGCATGCCACGTTTCTTCTTATGGGGAGAGATTTAGCTCAAAGGTATAGTTGTTCAAACAAAGGAGATCATGTTGTTGTGAATAAAAATACCAAATTGCTAATCTTAAGATTCGTTTTTTTTCAGTGAAAAGTTGCATATCTGTCATTTTCGATTGATTATTGAAAAATAATAATTTCACAACATAAAGTTTTTGTACAAGTGAAGTTGACAAGCTTTGAAAATTTGCACCAACATGGCTACTGGCACTATTCCACTTTTTTCACATCTGTTTATTAAATTTGTGCATTGCCAGTGTATATGTTATCTTTTCTTTAAAAGATTTCAAAAATTTTATGATTTTGAAAATTCAAGCTGCTACTTTTCTTACAATATAGAAGATGACTTCGTACTGGAGAACTGTGATTGACCTGACCTATCCCATGACTGCAATGTTCACAGGTAATTATACATCTTGGATGCTTTTGTTATGAGTTTTGTTTTTTTACATACAATGAACAAATGTTTCTATTTTATGAGGCTTATCTGTCAGTTGTTTCAATCTGTACTTGGGTCTTACACTAATATTTAAGTAGTTGTCTAGAAGTACAGAAGTATAAGTGTTACATTGTATAAGTGCATATATATGCATACCAACAAATAGTTCATATTGTACTCTTCATAAATTTTAAACAGAGTAATACATATTTCTTCTTTATGCTGAATAGGATATTTGTGGGTTGAGGATGTGAAGCTCTGGGCTTTGAGTGTTTTGTGGTCGTGAAAAAAATCAGTATGTTTAAGTAAGTATTATCACTGTCTCATTCTTTTCTCTATTCTTTGAATTAGTGGTTAGTGTGCCATATTTGCATTTGAGAGTCCATGATTTGTGCCCTGTTACTGAAAAAAAAAAAGCTCCATACTTCCAAGATTATGCTTCACCTATTCACACAGAATAGTTTGATCCCTCTTGCATCTGCCTATGAGACTTGTATTCTACTAGCCTTGAGCTAACTCCCATCTAAAAGTCATCTGTTTAAGCTTGAAATGAACTAGTGCATGATATTATCATCATCATAAGATGACAGCCCTCCACCAATAGGAGAGTGATACAACCTCCTTGTGCAGTAATTCTCCTTATGCACTTGTGCTCGAAATAACTTCATTTTTTTCTTGGCGTTGTCTAGAATTGGTGTGTGTTTAGATTATTAATCAACTAGGTGAGATTTGCAATAGTTTACAAAACTTAAGTATCATATAAGTTTCACTGGTTTCTTTTATAACTAAGGAAGAACAAAATTATAATTTTTCTTTTCTCTGCTTTCCCATTATGAATTCTCAAATGATGGTAACTTCTGCTTCATTCTGTTATAGTGATGATATTCCTAACATAGGACCTGTGTATATTGTGGCGACTGAGGGCCCGTTGTCTGTGGAGGACGTGACAGGCATTCTTATATGTGTTGTAGGTTCCTTCTTGCACTCTGCCCCATCTCTCATCCATTTAGTCAACATTCCTTCTTCCCAGAACGACTACATGACTGAGCATATGGGCTTCGTAGGATAGTTTTCTGAATGTGAATCTCAACTTTTTGCCATCCATCAAGCATTTTCCAATTTCCTCTCTCCTCTCATGGTTCAGTTGGTCATGATCCACTCTAACAGTACCACAATCGCTTCTTTTATCAATTGTCAGATGGTAGCTGTTCCAGGACTCTTTGCTTCCTTGCATTAGAACTTCTATTTTGTATTTATTCCCATTGAGTTCATCTCACAACTTGCCATTTGCCAGAGGCTCTGAATTTGGTGGCAAATCACTCGTCTCAGCCAGACAAGAGTTCTAATCACAGCATGGTCTCTTCACCACCAGGTTTATCACTGCATTTACTCAGTTGGGCCTGCCTCTCATTAATGCCTTTGCTGCTCTTAACACCAGGATTCCCCTTTTTGGGATCCACAGTTCCTCATCCTTCAGCCTTAGCAGTTGACACTCTCAGCCTATTGTCTTATTCCTCTTCTCCTTTGTGTCCTTGCTTTAATACTCCTTGTCAAGTCCTGTTGTTGGCACCTCTTTAGTCAGCACAATCCTGATTTCCTCTGATCTGTCAATTCATGTCTGGGCCCTCTCTTCCTCTGCCCCATTCCTACTCTCTCTATGGCTCCAACCACATTTCTCTTTCACCCAAGAGTGTTGACCCTTTCATCTTTACATGTAAGATTTGTCCTGTCCATTGCCCACAGGGCTGGACCCTGATTGTGTAGCCTTATTCTTATCCTATTCCTGTCTTACTTCAACTCTATTCATCTATCAACAGGGCTGGTGAGGTTTTTGACATTGGTCCATTAATCTCTCCCTTCCTCTTATATCCCACTTTTTGGCTTTTTTTATGTGGTTATTTGACCATGGATTGATGGTCTACAGGTAGCTTTATAAACTACATTTAACCTTTCCCACAACTATCAGGTTTTTCTTCTATCCTCTCCACTTTGTTACGATCTTTCCTTCATCGAACCCCCTCATCTTACACCCATGCTCAACTGGGTCTTTGATGTGGTTTTACATGCTCTTATACATGCTCCATTCAAGCTGTTGGTTTCATGTTAATTATACTTTTTTTTTCTCTGAAGCCATGTTTCTTTTTCCTTCTCACCCATGGTCACCGTTGTTCAGATGTTTATGCCATTTAAGCTTCCTCCACTCTTATTTAATTGCACTTACTTCCTCCTATATTCAGACTGGGTCTTTCTTCCTGCAACTTTGACTGCTCAGGAAGGTGATAGTTTTTACACATTTGTTGCAATAGATTCATCAACTGTCTTACATTTGCATCTCATTTTAACCGACCCTTGAACAGGATCCTTTGGGCTGGCATGTAGATGAATCCACACATATTTGTCTCTCATTATGTTCATCATCTGACTGTTTCATCTTCAGCAGAATTTAACTCCCTCCAGTCATTGTTCTTCAATAGAACTACATAATATTTTCGAGAAGGGTAAGTACATTTTCTTTTTCAGCACTCTCTTTCCTTGTATAGGATTCTGCCAGGTGGCTGGTGTTGCATCTTAGGGTGTGCTTATTTTTCAAAGCTGCTTTGGGCTAGGGATAGTGGAAAGTATTCAACCCATCCACCCTGGATCTACCAGTGCCCATTATTAAGGGTATGATTCACCCAGCTCTAGTAACTTTCTTTAACTTTCATATATATCCATTCATTGCCTTGTTCACCTCATAGTAATTAGTTTATCATAACCTTTTTATCTCGGCTATTGATGCAACATCAACTGCAATTATAACTTTGACCAGTCATTATAACATCTTGTTTTTGCTTCTGCTGCTGAAACATCTCATTTTCTAAAATGGTAACCAACAAAAAGAGGGTAATTTTCATTAAAAATATGAAACAGAGTTATGACCATTTTCAAACAGACATCAAGTAATGCTAAATGTGACTTTATCACATACGTTGTATGTATGGATTATTTGTGTAAATGCGAGTTTGACCCTCTATATTATACAAGAAAAGTCTGTTGAAGAAACTCAGCCATTTCAGTGAGTTAATTACCTCATCTCACTAACCCTAAGATATAGTAAAGTCTACCAGTTACATGTTGCTCAAGGTCACTAAAAATGAGAAAGGTTACATACAAATGGTCATTAGTTTGTACATTTGGGTTGGTTAATGTACAGTTTAAGGAGGTGCTCGCTGTTTAGGGGAAACAAACAAGTTCTTCCGTGCACATTCTGTAACACATACACTGATTATTTTTATTTAATACTTCAGTGTAATTTATTGAAATTGGAAGATACATCAAAATATGCTGATCATATTTATGTGTTTTACTGAGAAATTGAGCAACACAAATACATTTTATCTACTCATCAATATGGAACTTTCTAAAGTTTAAAGCTAATTTTTTCTCCAACGACTCCTTTCAGGGTATGAGATTACATTACTGTTTCTTTCTGTATTTTTGTAACTGAACAGTTCACTAAGAGCATTTAATGTATTTTTTCTTCTCAACGTTTGATGTTTTTGAAAATACTGCCATATATAAAGGTAATGCATGTAAGCTATATGAGGTGTTACATACTGATCTTGATTCCAAGTGTATTTGGTAAGTGTTATATATTGTACAGAAGTTAATCCAGCTGGTATGTTTATGGCCTCTAGTGTCCTTTCTCCCCAACCTTTTGTGTGAAATCAACATTTTAGAATGCTTTAGGAAGAACACTAAAATCAAAGTAGGTGCAGTGATCCCTGACTAACATATCAACACACACATATGAGGTTTTAGTCTTTAGTTTTCCTGTTGAATCAGTCACTAACAATATCAGCTTTACTTCTAGCAAACGTTGCTGTCAATCTTTTACTATCAGTCTATCATAGCTATTTTTAATTTTTTAAAAGTCCCAATTGTAAACCTATTATATTTTCAAGTTATGTTTAGGTGACTGGAAAACTGAGTTTGCTAAGATTATAAATGAATGTTTTTTTTTTACAACCACAATCTGTTAGGAACACGTATATATCACTATTAGTTTATAGTACATTCCTAATTAACATTGTAAACAAAGTTCATATTCCCTACTTTACAATACATTATTGAATAGTATTTTCCATTATTGAAGTTCAGTTATGTAATCATTGACACATACTGAAAAATACTTCAGTGAAAATCTGAATATAAATAAAGTGGAGTTGACCTTGAGAACAAGAATCTTCTGAGTTTAATTGTGTAGTAGAAATGTAAAAGAAGTGTAATGTTATTTTCATCAGCCTTTGATTAATTTTTACATTGCTATCAAATATAATGATATAATTATTCAATTTATAAAGACCAGAAGCTTATGGTAGTGTACACAAGTAAGATATGTGAAAATTGCTGGACATGAATTTATACATTGATGAAAATACTAGAAGCTTATATTTGCATTTATGTTATAGTTATGGCCATTTTCTATAATTATGCATTTCATTAAACGTCTAATTACAGCAAGTGGTTACATCATTATGACATTTTTTTATTGTAGTATAGCTTAACCCAGAAGAACATTGAAACACAATAACGACATAAACATGTATACAGACAACAACTTAGCTCTATGTTAATTGATACTATTATTTCCAGTGCACTATGTATACGTTTTGCTACTTGAAAAATATGTAGTAGCAACGAAACAGTAACTTCCTCAATATTTAATACATTGAAAGATAGAGAAAATTTTTAAAATTTTATGTCAGTTTGATAAATATGACGTTTCCTGAAGCAGATATCTTTATTGGTTTGGTTCAGTTGTACTTACTAACAAAACATGTCTGTGTCATCTAGTGAATAATAAAGCTAACAAATTTAATAATTATGATAACATTTAGTAACAGTTTGTAAAATTACAGTGTTAACAGTTCACAATATGATAGGTAATACTACTTCCATGACTTCCATTAAATTTATATGGATTATTGACAGTTATCTATTATGGTAGACCATTATCAGATCTATGATTATTATATAAAACATTTGCATAAATATCAGTTCATTTGCCAATCAACTATTGTATTACAAATGTTATTACAATTTGGTAATATATCAGTTCTAGTATATTAAAATCATAGAATTATTTACAGAAAAGTTGTATACTAAGTATTATTGCTGAATATCAAGTCATTTGGAAATGACAGTGGAAGTACAATCATGATTTTTAAAAAACTTCAGGAGACCTTCAGGCATTTGAATTCTAACTATGTATAAGAATTATCTTTCTTTAAAGCATTAATACTCTATCAATATATACATGATATATTACAAATGATGCATAATACCTTTTGCACAACAGCTTTAATTAAAGTCGACTTTCATATAACAACGAGGAATTGTACCCTTAAGATCCAAGTATCCTTGTGGTATCAAAAATTTACTTAATTATCCAATCCAGATTGTGTGATTCCATGGGCTATGATGGAGAAAGCTAGCACCAAGGAAGTGCCTGCCCACTTCTTTGGCTTGTGCTTGCAAGATTTTGAAAATAGCATTTCCTGGTAACTCATTGCACTCTTTCCATTAAATTGCCTTTCAAGCAGGTGTCCAGTGGGGATCCAGACATTTCTCTGGATCTCCACTCCTTGAATTATCCCCCCTTCTTCAAGTGGAGAATGGGAGACCCTTGCCACATACCAGATCCTTTCTAGTGGAGTGTGTTGAATATACAAGACTGTTTAGTGTAGGCATTATTATTTAATTTATTTTGTGAATTAATATTTAATGATTGTTTAGTTTTTCATAACAAGAATGTTCAAAGTAATTATTTTAAAGGTGATAGTTATGACAAGTTTTGTTATGTAACTCTGTACAAGTCATACGTTGTGTTTGCAATTACAATGTTGTCTAGGTTTTATTAATATTATTGACGTGATGTTACTTGAATTATTGGTATTTTTCTCATTGTGCATGAAAAACAAGAAATATAGTACTTACCTGGGTCTCTTTTTTTTTTGCTGTCGATTGTCGATGAAACTTAACTTTCTTTTTATATTAATGGTACTGTTTTACTAAAATAGTTTATTTAATTAAATAATGTACCAAATAACACAAATTAGTAACATGCAAAAAACAGATAATGTCATATAAATGTCACAATTTTTCTGGTTTTCTAACTATGTGACTAGAGAAGTTAAAAATTCAGCTAAGCTTATTGATGTGTTTCCTGTGGGAATAAAGTTTGAATTGGAAGTGAAATACACAATTCTCTGTACAAAAAACAATGTAATATAATACGTCATTTGATAGACTAAGAAATTGGGCTTTCTGTTGGTTATAAGTAATATAGTATTAAACATCAGAGAGAACTATTAGCAATTTCTGAAAGACAGGATGTGACAGATGTGTGTGGCAAGAGGGATTTGATTGTTTATTTCATGGCTCTATAACTAAATAAGATTGAAGGCTATACAAATTATGCTTTGCCTGAACAATGATGATATTATAATGAGTAATTTACATTAAATTTTGTATTTCTCAGAGGGGTGGTAAATAAATTAGAGAATAGGGGATGCATAGAGAGAAAATGCCACTCTTCTCCTGCTGGGGAAATTCAAGATTTTTTTAATATTGCCTTAAAGAACCTAAAATTTATATATTATTAACATATGGATTATTAGCTATTTTTTATGCTATACTAATGGGTATATCATGAAAAAATTAGATTAATTAAATTTTGAATGTAACTCGCTAAAACCTCATGGCATGTACAGAAAAGGATGCCTATAGAAAGAGAGTTAATCTATCAGTGTAAAATTAGGGATGGTCCTTGTATAGCTTTGTGCAAACATTCAAAACAATCAAACTTCCTTCAAATTTATTCAATCCTACTATTCAAATATAGAAGCCCAAGAATTGGTAGTGGGTGATGTTGACTTCTGCTTTCCCTTTAATCTATTGGTGTAAATTAGGGATGGTTACCAAAGATGGTCCTTGTGTAGCTTTGTACAAACATCCAAAACAAACTTTCTTCAAACTTGCACATTATTTTAGTGATTTTTTTATTATCTCCATAAGAGATTTAATGTTCATTATTTTTTATGATCATTGGCAGTTGTTATAAAGTGTTAAAAGTTTGATTGGGGCACTGTAACATGTTACCAACAGGATTTCAGTGGTGGTTTTAACAAAGTTTTGAAATCAAGTACATAGAAAAGTAATAACTAGCCATACTCTAAAACATTTGCAAAAAAAATTTTTTTAGGTTGGATTGTTTTAATGCTGATAATTTTCAAGAAAACAAAGTATCTGTTAAAAAACAAACATCATTATTAACATTGCATTTTTATATATTTTAGTAAGAGCTGTTTAGAATATTCAAGGTGTTTTATTGTGTGAAATCATTGGTAAGAAATAATTATTTTCAATAGTGTATATTGTATGGACTCCTTATGAGACAGAGGTTATGATTGTACAGTACATTACAAGATTTTCAGTATTCAATTAGAACCACATAAAGTAAAGAATGTCTGAGGATAATGCACAAACATTTAAAAAAAATTGAAATTATTGACTCACTATGAAACATAACCTGTTTGAACAGATGGAGAAACATTTCAGTTCATATTACTTGATTTATTATTATGCTAATTGTGATGCTTCAGTTTCATGAATGAGGATGATAGGGATGCTAACTTGGTAAAGAAAACCTGCATAAAATAAAACAAACTTTTTTCTTTGTTACGAAAGGATAATAAGGTATGGTAAGAAGCTACAGTAAGGAAATTCAGCAAGTTTCTAAGTTAGTTATGTAAATTCAGGCTATTCATAAATTAGAAAATACTGAAGTTAATATAGCAGGGAATATTTTTTTGGAAGCATACCCAACTTTATAAAGAATGTTGTTAAACAATAGTGTAGTTGTTTGCAACTTATTGATTTCCTTCCCCTTTCATTCAGGGTCTCAATTTAACCATGTTATACATGAAGTGTTTGGGGAGAGACAGATTGAAGACTTATGGCTACCTTTCTTTACTGTCACAACAGACATAACAGAAAGCTGCATGCGTGTTCATACTCATGGTAAGTTTCCACAGTCTTTTTTTTTGCTATGATCTTTGTAAATGTACATAAATAGAGAGAACAAAATGTATTTAAAATGTCATTTCACCATAGTTATCAGCAGTAAGCACTAGCATATAGCTAAATCATTTTTGTATGGTATAACACTGAAATTATATTTCTTTTGTTGTTGAGTTTTCCTAAAAACTATGTTGCTATCTAAATCATTGTTCAAGGATGTTGTACCTTATTTTATGGAATTTTGGGCAAGTTAGAAAGTCTTGTATTAACAGTATTTTCCAATTTAGCAGCATCATTTAGATGTTTGTTTTTTTAATGAAATAATTTATATAGTTAGAACATTTTTATATTTTTCCCTTGAAATTTTTTCATTTCATTGTGATTATGGAAAGATCATGATAATTTTTTTTGCCATCAACTCTAGTTAACTGTCACTCATTAGTCTTGACCCTAACAAGTTTTTAGTGGTTTTTAAAGTTTTTCATAACTTTAAAAGACTCAGAATTTCATGAAATTCTATCACTTTGGTACTAAATGGAAAAACAGTTAAGTAATTCATGAAGCATTTGTTAAAACCCAAAAATTATTAGTTTGAAATGACTCTCTTTTTTAAAGCTAAATGTATAATCTATTGAAATATGTAGTGCTGTTTTTTGTTGCCAATTCCAAGCACTTCCTCTGATGTTTGGAATAAGGCTTGTTTAGTACCCTCAAAGTTAAAGTAAATTTAAATATCTATAAATCTGTAGGGTTTTATAAAAATCTGAGCTGTGAAAAAGTGAAACATAATGCAGTTAAAATAGTAGTTTTCTTCACTTAATTAAAACTGTTGGCAATCCAGATCACAACTTAGCTTTCAAACTTTGACCAATCGTACTGCTCTAGTTAAAGGACATTTTTCTTATCAGAGTAAATATTTGTACTGTAAACATTAGATAGCTTTTTTGGATTCAGATTCTTTGAAAATTTGTATAATATACTGGTTCTAGTATATTTGCATTTAAACAACAAAAGTGCATTTCACATGAAAGAAGTATTCATTAGGTTAAACTGGGGCATATAAATATATCACGAGTTTAATATGTATTGCAAAATATTTCAGCATTAAAATTAGAGTTCATTTTATATTTATATAGAAATTTATATATATATATATATGCTTTATCTCTATGCATATAAAATCTCTTTTCTTTTAAGAAACTTTATTTTTATATTTTAAAGTCAGAAATCAAGTTTATATCACCCAGAATGCATGTTAGTGTATTTCAAATAGATTTAATGTAGATGTAAATTTCTAAATCACATATACATATTTTTAATTTAAATGTCACTTGCAAAACATAATTTCGTACTTGAGTTTCATTTCAATACTGTTATCTCATTATCTTATTATATTCTTAAAGCCAAGGGCCATGTGTTGCTTAGTGGTTAGTGTGTGTGTATCAGACTGTGGATCTTAGGGTTCATGGTTCATATGCCCTTTTCCACATGCACACAAAAAACAAATTCTTCACACCTTGGGGGGTATTGCTGTGCATTATATATAAGGATGATGGTCAAATCCCACTGTTTGATTAGAATAGCCCAAGGGATGTTGGTTGATGCTGTTAATTGACTATTGCCTTCACTCTAGTCTATGAGGTCACAATTAGTTGTGGAAATTACAGGTAACCCTTGTGTAGCTTTTTGGGAATATCCAAAACAAACCAGACCTGAACTCAAAAATACATAAAGGAAATAGGCTTTTATTAAATTACTAAATATTATGAAAGGTGAATTAATTATAAATTTATGATGTCATGAATTTTCAGTTCCTGACTTAAAAAGAAAAGTTCATAGGTTAAAATTACTACTGCCATTTTTGGAATATTCTTACAGCAGTAGTATTCATTGAAGATTTTGTGTTTACACTCGTAGTCCAGTAAGAACAAGTGAACTGTCTTTGGCATAACATAGGTGATAGTTTTGTGTTTGTGTGTGTAATTTAAGATATAATTAAAGGAATAGTTTCTTCTATTAATACAAAAATCATAATTTGTCGTTACTATGAATGCTTCTATAAAATCTCAAGTTTGTTTTTGATATATATTCATTTGTTCCTTCTACTTTTCCTAGATGCTTAGATGTGGAGGTTAACAAAAGTCTAAATTAACCCTGGATTGGGGCTGTTAGTTAACAATGTTCTAAAACCAGTTTGTATAGAACTTGTGGGATTTATATAAGCTTATTAGGTTTACAGTTTTGTAGCAATTGCTATTTCATACATTAACTAGCAGTGTTAGATATTATTGACTGGTGGTTTTAGATTTTAGAGTTGAGTGTAAGGTATGCTACATTGATTTTTTTGTTAATGTATCTAATTTTATTACTTCTTAATTTTATTATGCAGATTGTTTTGCATTGTTCTACCATTGTTTTGTATTGTGTAGTAGGTTTAATTTTTTAGTGATTGCAATGTAAACTTGGTTGTTTGTTGAATAGAATTATTCTTTTGACACCAAAGAATAAATATATTAAATTTTTTGGTCATTTTGTTACTAATGTAAGAAGTTTAACACTTTTGTGGCCAGGTATTTGTATTCCCAGGGATCAGGAAAAATTGGGAAAATTTGAAAAACTATTAATTTTATATATATTTATGATTTATTTATTGTATATTGAAGAAAGGCCCTAGAAATAATATTTCATTAGATTCAATGTGAAAAACCTTTGTCAGAGTACACTCATATGATCTTTGGAAATAGAAATAGTAGGCATACCAAGTATGCCCATCTGATAAGCAAGTAGTTAATGATAATTTTGAAATTTTTATAGTGACTTGAGTATAAAGTAAGTTATTTGTTGACTAGTACTGTTAAATCTTTTGTAGGTTGAAGCTGGAATGTTATATTTTAATTGCATCTTAACCAATGACCACCGGCTACAAACTTTCTCCATAGCGAATGCAAGTCTTGCTATATTTTGTTCCAAAAATAAAACTAATGGTTGAAGCTGTTTGAAACTTCATAAGAACTTTCATAAATGCATGTAGTTTAAGAAACATAAAGCCTGTTACTTTTGATAAATTTAGTTTTTTGGCATTATGATCTTTAATATCTTGGAAAATTACATTAGGAAATGG